CACCAAGAAGAAAAATATTATTACCAATAAAATGGACAGACTAAATGAAAACTCTGAAGACGATAGAGAGAGCAAGGTAATAAAATCGTATAATAAAAAAAACGGAATTAAATTGGCTCGGAAATGATGATAGATGATATATTCCATGTAATTTTACATATAAAGTGACAGGGATCTTCATTTACAAGCTAACTCTGATGCCGTTTTTTTGCCGTTAATTGTATTGTATTTGGAGAATCACCACGCCATGTCAAGAGCTTAAGTACCGAGAAGGGAAAATACAATTTTTATTGTCAGAATCGATTTTTGGAAGGTTTTTTAAATACCTTTATTAATATCATGTAACAAGTACCGTTGCCTACGGCTATGTATAGAACTACGACTCTGTATATTGATGAAATTAACTCACAAGAGTAGAAACCCTAAGGCAACTTAAGATACATAATTAGAATGTACTGAAATTATTTAAGCTATAAAACTTCTTGTAGAAACCTACCTTTCAACAAATGCATTTAATATACGTACTAACAATTATTTATGATCAAAAAAGGCAAAAAGTTTAAAACGTTAGAGATGCCCTGCTTTTCAGTGCGTTAAGAGTAAAATATCGTTATGGGCTATTAAGGACAAAAAGGCTTGACAAGATTAAAAAAAGTGTAGTAAAAGTATTTCCGGCTGTGATGTTTACCAACATATGATGTGTAAATTTATCGTAATAGAAGGCCTCTGTACTTTAAATATTTTCCAGATTTTTATTATCATCAATAATTATTGTTAATAAGAGTTACTAATATTTGTATATAGGGTGTCATTGAAATGGTGTAAAAAAATCAGGGGGTGATAGTAATCCTAAAAATAGTAAAAAAAGTTCCTATAAGTATAGGACGGAAAGTTAGGGGAACTGAAAGGGTGAATTTAAAAAACCGTTGTTTTGAAATTGTAGGCTTAAAAAACGAGATAAAATTTCGAAAAAAAATCCTCTGAAATAAATTTTGACCCTAAATCAAATGGTGATACTAAAAAATAAAAAAAAAATAGTGTACATCGCCCCGAGCGATGGTTTTCGAGAAAATCGAAGGCAAAGAGTTTGCTCTGATGGGTTGCTATCTGCTTAATCAACATAAACTTATGGAAGTTATGGCGGTTCAAAATTTAACAATTCATTACAATTACACAATTTCAATGACACCCTGTATAGTAATTTTATCCTAATTACGCGCACTTACGTATAGTCTACTATTTTGCAACAAATTAATTGATTGACGATATCTTTTTAAAGTAGATATGTTTTTTAAAATTTTAAAGAAATAAATATGTTTGTCACTGAATCCATTCAATACAATCATAAAATAAAATAATATGATATTAATATATCAAAAATATAATCACTATTTTTACAGCTCTAGTTTCTTACGATAAATATAAAAAAATATGTTAAATATACTAAGTTTAGTTATAACTTCTATTGACTTTATAACTTGTTGACTGTTTAATGAGTACTCTACTATATATTTTCAAATATTGAGTTCTAAAAAAAATCCAAATGTAAATAAGGTGTTATGGTTTACATGTGTATTATGTATATTTCTTTTTATTCCCATTGAATAATAAAGTGTCAGAAAAATGTTTATCATGGTATATTTTTGTTTATAAATTAAAAACAAATACAAATACGAAATTAATAAGGAATTACATAAATATTATCTAAAGATTTAAATTAAAATAACAACTTTCTTCTTTAACTGATTTCAGAGCAGAAAGCAAATGGCAATGCAAATTATACTAACTCATTTAAGAAAATCTTATGAGTTATTGATGTCTCTAGATGCAAAGTTTTTCAATTTTGTTTCGGAAATATTAAATTTAGCAAAATGTTTGATTTGTTAAAAAATTTTATAGATTTGACGCTTTTCTGTATCTATAAAAACAGAATTTAAAAAAATATTTGAATATCATTTAAAAAAATATCTTTGCATTTTTATTTCTTTATACTATAAAAATTATTTTGAAATAAACTATTAACTGATGTGCCCAATTAAATTAAACATACTGTATAATATTTAAAAAAAATATATATATCTTTACATTTTTATTAAAATTCCTGAAAAGCTCCTAGTAAAAATGTAAATACTACAAAAAATATTAACTAAATACTACATATCAAGATAAGAGATAGTAAATAATATTAATCCACTATACAATATGATCGAGAAAAAAAAACGGCGTCACCGATGGCTTTGACATGAAGATCGATGTGATTTTATATGTAAAACTAGCGTGTACCAGCGACTTCGTTCGCGTCGAATTAATCATTTGTAATGATGATGATAAAGCAAAGCAAGAATTTCCATTAACATACAAACTGGATAAAATTTTCTCGCATTTATGTCAGCATGAGTAAAAACAATATGGCGATATTATTATATAACTTGGTAATATTTGAGGGGTAGTTTCATCTCGTTGGAATTTGACTTTCGAAAAATCCGTTTGCCAAAAATAAGCTTTTTACGTCAAGCAGTTTAAGCAGAATCGCGGTTAAGAAATTTCCCAACTTTTTGGAACACCCTGTATGATTTTTTAAAAAATTTCAGAATGTGTGAAAAAACCAAATAAATTATGCTTCTCCAAGCGTTTTCCCGAAAGACTAACCGTTTTTTAAATAACAAATATTGTAATATTTGAGGGGCGTTTTTACCCTCTTAGAATTTGAGATTCGAGAAACCCCTCCTTATAGAACCTCTACAACCCACAGTCAATCCGTTTGCCAAAAATCAGCTTTAAACGCCAAGCAATTTAAGCAGAATCGTGGTTACTCAATTATCATATTTTATGAAACACCCTGTATAAATTTATAAAAAATCTTAAAATATGTAAAACAACAAAATAAACTATACGTGTTTAAGAGTTTTTCCGAAAAACTCATCTATTTTTAATTAAAAAATATTCTAATATTTGAGAGATAGTTTCACCCCCTTAAAATTCGAGTTTCGAAAAATCCCTTGTTATCGAACCTCTACACCCTAAAGTCAATCTGTTTTCCAAAAATCAGCTTTTTACGTCAAACGCTTTAAGTATCGTGATTAATCAATGACCAGATTTTTCGAAACACGCTGTATACATTTTTAAAAAATCTTAAAATATGTAAAAAAACAAAATAAAATATACGTGTTTAAGCGTTTTTTCGGAAACTTGACCGTTTTTTAAATAAAAAATATTGTAATATTTGAGGGGTGGTTTCAGTCTCTTGGAACTGGAATTTCGAAAAATCTCTTCTTATCGAACCTCTACACCCTAGAATCAACCTGTATGCCAAAATTGAACTTCTTGCGTTGAGTGGTTTGAGCAGGATCGTGATTAATCAGTATGTCAGTCACTTAAGGATTTTATATATTAGTATAGATTGTATGAGGAATATAATCGATCATTTATCCAAAGCCTGAATGCTTTTTTATCATATACGTAAATTCGAAAAAATGAGAGATAGAGAATTTTTGTTCTAAAAATAATGGGGATTTTTTGTCTAAAATGTTTTGATTGATTGAATTTGAAATTTTTATATTATATCTATATTATTCCAAAACGGTTCTCACAGAACTGTAGACATTAATTTAGTGTGTGAATATCATATTATATGAATTTGCTCATTGTACTATTTTCTTATATTAGGTACCCCATGAATTTTTAATTAGAAAATTATGAGCTGTAAAAAATTTTGTATTTTTTGGTGGGTCTAATTATTGGTTCTCTACATATTATACAATTAAGCAAGTAAATAAATAAATTTGCTAATATAAATAATAATAATCCCATTAAAATTATACACGGTGAGTCTTAAATAAGTGCAACTATTTTTAGGGGTAGTATATTTAGACCCTAGAAACACGATTGTGAGGTTTTTTTCGCCACCAAAAAATTTTGAAAATTTGGAATTTTTTGAAAAAAAAAATAAATTTTTTTTAGTCTTTAATTAAAAAACATAATTTCTTGACAATATGGCAACATAAAATGTAGTAAATTAATTTTATAAGAATGAAAACCCAGAAAAAATCCAGTGGTTCTCAAAATTTAAGCAAAAATCGCTTTTTTGGAAGTTTTTAAAGTAAAATAACTCGGTTATTTTGGATTTATTTGAAAAACGGTAAAGAGAAAATTTGTTTCTTTTATTTAGATCTACCAGCCCTGATAATATTGGCACTTATTTAAGACTCACCCTGTATATTAAATTCTTAAAAAAAACGTAGTAGGTTCCGGCCACCATATTGAACTACAATTAACCTAGTAATATTACATATGAAGTTACTCTTCGTCTAGTCAACGTGTTTGTTCAAAACGAGATTGATCAATATTTCGATTTTTTTACCCTGTATAATCAAATGACTTTGTAGATGAACGACAAACCAGAAGAAAATTACGTATATTTTTCATTTTTTTTAAGCAATCATCCCCCGAATTTGTTTGGCACTCATTTATTGACACCCTCTATACATTACTAATGTTTGGATTTACAAAGTATTAAATCATATTAACACAACCATGTTATGAATATAAATAATATAAATACAAAATAATAATACATTTTTCAATTTAATTTAGTTCAAAAGTAATACTAAAGTGCACTTACCTCTTCAAGTTAGATGCAATCTTCTTGGACGACTAATTGTCAGTGATGCAGCTTCAGCTCAACAACCCGACTTAACACTCTACAAACCGCCAAAGAAGAGATACTCAATCTTGATAATGACTTTTCTACTACCTGTTCGGCATCGTCAACAATGAAATCCTTTTACTAAAAATAAAATAAGCAAATCACCGTACGCTTTATCGATGATGGAATTTTCTGAAGATTAATCGCGAGAACCATAACAAGGATACTTGTTACAATCTCGGCTTAGTCATTTAGTGCTCTACTTATTTTCGAGTATCCGAGAGAATGGACAGATTTTCAATAAAAAACGTTTTTCACTTTTGATTTTTCCCTACTATAAATTGATGTTTCGGTCTTAGATTGGATCAGTTCGTCTTTACCGAGCGTTGCCTCGAAAATGATCTTGAAGTTTTGTTGTGTCTTCTCCATCTTGCTGTTCGGTGTAGTGTCGGGTATTGCAATCGCCGAAGACCATGCCGAAAAACCGTCAGAAACCGCGAGAATGTTTTCGAAAAACTGTAACTCGGCCTATTCCTTTACCTGTCTCAAACTAGACATCGTATCGTGGGTGGACAAGTTAAACGAAAACGACGACTACAGTGTCGTTCCTGGTGTTTCCATAGTAAAAGAAAACAACATTAATTCCACAAACACAGCAGATTTAGTCGCTCAACTCGGTAGAGAGTTCCCAGACGATCCAGAAGCCAGACTCGACGCATTCCTCTTGAAAAAAGTCTCAGGATTTGTCAACAACCATTCAATTAAACTCAAGCTTTGGAGCGATGAAAAAACAAACGCTGCTTCGGCTCGTAAAGGCGGTGGTGGAGGAGGCGGAGGTGGCGGTGGAAAAGGTGGTGGAGGAGGTATGGGATATATCCTCGCAGCAGGTGCCATGATGAAAGGAACCTTAATGGCACTGGCTCTGGCTGGTTTGGCAGCTTTGGCTGGTAAAGCCCTGATGGCTGCTATGGCTGCATTGTTGCTCTCAGCTATTTCAGCTCTGAAAGGAGGTGGTGGAGGTGGAAAAACCACTTATGAAGTTGTAGCAAAGCCCGTTTATAGCTCGTCTCATTCTCATTCGGTGTCTCATGAGGATATCGGTGGTCACGGGCATTCGAGTTATGGAAGAAGTTTTGACCAGCCCTTACTCAACGTTCTGCAACCAGGGTTCAAGCCAGCTTAAAAATAAGAAGAGTTATTATTTTGATTTAGTAATTTATTGTTATTTATTTTTGTCAAATAAAATGATGTTTGCTAAAAATTGTTCGTTTTTATTTACTCTCCATGCAAAATACTGTGACATTTCTTACAGTATATAGCAATATATGATTAAAATATTTATAAACTAATTGTATCTACTAATAATCTATTAAATAAGACAGTACAACTAAATATACATTTTCGTAATAAGTAATTATATACTTATACTTATTCGTAAGAAGTAGCAGTCCCTCAAATTTAGAGATACTTTCTAATCTAGGATAGAAAAGTTAAAATCTCGTTAATGGTTGTTATCTACCGTTATTCGTAAAAGATTAATAAAATTACTTTGATTTTTCTACTATGTTATAGTTAGCTTACATTCATGAATTTACTAAAGATATTCGTAAAGTCGACGATTAAAATACTAATCAATAGGATTTACTTTATTCATATAGTTTAAACTTGCAATCGCCGAAAATCGTGTCAAAAAACCGTCAGAACCCGCGAGAATGTTTTCGGAAAACTGTAACTCGGCCTATTCTTTTACCTGTCTCAAACTAGACATCGTATCCTGGGTGGACAAGTTAAACGAAAACGACAACTACAGTGTCCTTCCTGGAGTTTCCATAGTAAAAGAAAACAACATCAATTCCACAAACACAGCAGATTTAGTCGCTCAACTCGGTAGAGAGTTCCTAGACGATCCAGAAGCCTGACTCGATGCATTCCTCTTAAAAAAGTCTCAGGATTTATCCACAACCATTCCATTAAACTCAAGCTCTGGAGGGATGAAAAAACAAATGCTGCTTCGGCTCGTAAAAGCGGTGGTGGAGGACGTGGAGGTGGCGGTGGAAAAGGTGGCGGAGGAAGTATGGGATATATCCTCGCAGCAGGTGCCATGATGAAAGGAACCTTAATGGCACTGGCTTTGGCTGGTTTGGCAGCTTTAGCTGGTAAAGCTCAGATGGCTGCTATGGCTGCATTATTGCTATCAGCTATTTCAGCTCTTAAAGGAGGTGGTGGAGGGGAAAAAACCACTTATGAAGTTGTAGCAAAGCCCGTTTATAGCTCGTCTCATTCTCATTCGGTGTCTCATGAGCATATCGGTGGTCACGGGCATTCGAGCTGTGGAAGAAGTTTCGATCAACCCCTACTCAACGTTCTGCAACCAGGGTTCAAGCCAGCTTAAAAACAAGAAGAGTTATTTAGTAACTGGCGTTGTTTCAGTAATTTATTGTCATTTATTTTTGTCAAATAAAATGATGTTTGTTAAAAAATGTTCGTTGTCATTTACTTTCCATGCAAAATATTGTGTAATTTTTCACAGTCAAGCAATAATATGATTAAAATATTAATAAACTAATTGTATCTACTAATAATCTATTAAATAAGACAGTACAACTATATAGGGTGTCCCACAATTAGTGCGACAAACTGAAAGGGGTGGTAGAGGGCATCAAAGCAAGTCATTTGAGTATAGGATGTCCGGAAATGTGCCATTTTGGCCGAAGGTGGAGTGAAACGTAAATTTCAAGTTGCATTATTTATTCAAAACATTTACAGAAACTGCTCAAAATGCCGTCCATTCTGTTGAAGACACAAATGCACACGCCTGTTCATGGATGTACGAACCCTGGCAACCCCGGCGTGCAGTCCGTGTTGGTACCTTAGTGCACGTCCAGTCAAGTTCCTTCCGCTCATTTTAATAATACCGGACATGGGTTCGTATATTCAAATGACTTGTTTTGATGCCCTCTACAACCCCTTTCAGTTTGTCGCACTAATTGTGGGACACCCTGTGTATATATTTTCGTAATAAGTAAGAATATGCTTACACTTATTTGTAATAAGCAGTAAAGTCCCTCAGATTTAAAGATACTTTCTAACTTAGTATTGAAATGTTAAAATCTCGTTAACGGTGAGTTATTTACTGTTATTCGTAAAAGATTAATGAAATAACTTTGATTTTTCTACTATGTTAAAGTTAACTTACATTCGTAAATTTGCTAAAGATATTGGTAAATTCAACGATTAAAATACTAATCAATAGGATTTACTTTCTTCATATAGTTTAAATTTTGCATCGGGGGTTGCAACCGCCGAAAATCGTATCAAAAAACGTGAGAATGTTTCAGAGAATCTATAAGTCGGTGTATTCCCCCACCTGTCTGATATTAGACATCGTATCGTGGGTGGACAAGTTAAACGAAAACGACTACAGTGTCTTTCCTGGTGTGTATATTATTAAAGAAAACAATGTCTATTCTACAAATATTATTTGTCTTTTGATTTAGTCTTTCAACTCGGTAGAGAGTTTCCAGACGATCCAGAAGTCAGACTCGAGGCATTCCTCTTGAGAAAAAGTGTCAGAATTTGTCAACAATCATTCAATTAAACTCAAGCTCTGGAGTGATGAGAAAACTAATGCTGCTTCGGCTAGTAAAGCCGAAGGTGGAGGAGGTGGTGGTGGCGGTGAAAAAGGAGGTGGGGCAGGTGTAGGATATATCCTCGAAGCAGGTGCCATGATGAAGGGAACCTTAATAACTCTGGCTTTGGCTAGTTTGGCAGCTTTAGCTGGTAAAGCCCTGATGGCTGCTATGGCTGCATTGTTGCTCTCAGCTATTTCAGCTCTGAAAGGAGGCGGTGGAGATGGAAAAACCACTTATGAAGTTGTAGCAAAGCCCGTTCATAGCTCGTCTCATTTTCATTCGGTGACTCATGAGGATATCGGTGGTCATGGGCATTCGAACTAGGGAAGAAGTTTCGATCAACCCCTACTCAACGTTCTGCAACCAGAGTTCAAGCCAGGTTAAAAATAAAAAGAGTTATTATTTTGATTTAGTAATTTATTGTTGTTTATTTTTGTCAAATAAAATGATTGTAAAAAAATGTTCGTTTTTATTTACATTCTATGCAAAATACTGTGACATTCTTCACAGTCAAGCAATATATGATTAAAATATTAATAAACTAATTGTATCTACTAATAGTCTATTAAATACGACAGTACAACTATATATACATTTTCTTAATAAGTAAGTATATACTTACACTTATTCGTAATAAGCTGTAAAGTCCCTCAGATTTAAAGATACTTTCTAACTTGGTATAGAAAAGTTAAAATCTCGTTAACGGTTAGTTATTTACTGTTATTCGTAAAAGATTAATAAAATGACTTTGACATTCATGAATTTGCTAAAAATATGAACAATTGAAATACTAATTAATAGGATTTACTTTCTTCATATGGTTTAAATTTTGCGTCGGGTGTTGCAATCGTTCGCAAGAATGCACCAAATCGTTCGCAATCGTTCGCAATCGCACCAAAATTCGCGAGAATGTTTCAGAAAACGTGTAGCTCGGCGCGGCGTATTCCTTCACCTGTCTGAAATTAGACGAGGTACCGTGGTGGACAAGTTAAACGAAAACGACGACTACAGTGTCCTTCCTGGTGTGTCTATTGTAAAAGAAAACAATCTCAATTCTGATTTAGTCTCTCAACTCGGTAGAGAATTCCCAGACGATCCAGAAGCCAGACTCGACGCATTCCTCTTGAAAATAGTATCAGGATTTGTCAACAACCATTCCATTAAACTCAAGCTCTGGAGCTATGAAAAAACAAATGCTGCCTCGGCTCGTAAAGGTGGGGTTGGCGGTAGAAAAGGACGCGGAGGAGGTATGGGATATATCCTCGCAGCAGGTGCCACGATGAAGGTGCTGGTAAAGCTTTGATGGCTGCTAGGGCTGCATTGTTGCTCTCAGCCATCTCTGCTCTTAAAGGAGGTGGTGGAGGTGGAAAAACTACTTATGAAGTTGTAGCAAAGCCCGTTTACAGCTCGTCTCATTCTCATTCGGTGTCTCATGAGGATATCGGTGGTCACGGGCATTCGAGCTATGGAAGAAGTTTCGATCAACCCCTACTCAACGTTCTGCAACCATGCAGGGTTTAAGCCAGCTTGAAAAGAAGAAAAGTTATTATTTCGATTTAGTAATTTATTGTTATTTATTATTTTCAAATAAAATGATATTTGTTAAAAAATTTTTTATTTTTATTTTTTATCCAAGCAGGATGTTATACAGATCACATATTATGTGACACTTGATCAAACATTAGTAAAATAATTGTATCTATTGGTAACCTACGAACGAGACAAATTAAGTCAATATTAGGCGCGATTCTCACTAGAATGCGGTTAATCGGAATCGCGCATTAGAGTCTTGCCAATATAACTTAGAACTTGAAATATATCTGTAATATTTTAGAGAATTTGCTATAAAATATTATCGAAATAAAATACTAAACTTTTCAAAACCTCGTTTAATACTATAATAATAACTACTATTGCGAGAGATATATACATGCCACAAAAAACATGGAATGCTCCCGTCCATAAACAAATAATAGATACAATATTGTTAGGCTTACTTTAATTTATATACATATTAATGACACTCCCCTCCTACAAAAAAAAAAACTAATTATACATTAAACGTTGCACTGGTTTCACTAAACGTTTTGGCCGATTTTCACTGAGATCAGAATTAATATTTTCAACTTTATCAGGAGATGTTGAGTTTACAATCGAATTTTCTTGAGAAATTCCCTCATTATGACTTACGCCAATTAATTCTTTAGAAATAGCTGATTCATTAATAAAAAATTTCTTTATCTGGTTTAAATGACGCTTCCAAATAATGTCATTTAATGAAGGAATTTTTACCAAGTACATACATTTTCCTATTTTTTTATAAATTTTACCACGTATCCAAGTAGGTTTTTGGACATTTCTGTAATCCTTAACTGTAACATTTTCATTAATACTAAACTGCATAAATCTATTGCCTCTATGATAATATTTTTGTATATTTTGCTGCTTAATGACTTTATTTTTTACATTAGTAAAACTCGCACAAAGTTGATTATCATTTTCAGGCAACAAATTACTAAACCTAGTACGCACTTTCCTATTAAACATCAACTGCGAT